GCACGCGGGCAGCGGACAGCCCAGACGCGCCGCGGCTGTCCCGCTGCCGGCGTCCTCAGAGGCTTTGCTTCCCGTCTCCCTGGTCTGCTGGTCTCCAGCAGACCAGGGAGACAGGCAGCAAACCCCCTTCGTAACTGCAGATCCGACGTAAGTCGGATCCGCGTAACTCGGGGACTGCCTGTACCAGCAACCTTACTAGGGATGTTAACTCCAGTGGCAGCCAGCTGCACCTGGCCAGAGCAGCCCCACATATGTGACCCTTGCAGTACCCCACAGCTGCAGTGGGGCTGGGCAGAAGGACCCCGCAGCTGTGGTGGGGCCAGGTGGCAGGACCTTGTATAAAATGATTAAGTGCTATCATTTAACCATTTTAACATCCCTAGATGTGAACACTATCACTCAGGGCAGTGAAGTTTTTCACACACACACACACGTTTTGTGAACAATAGTGGTAGTGAGTACACTGCCTATTATACCTTTACCTGATTTCCACATCTATAAAATAGGAACTAACAACACTTCTCTACCTCACAGGCACAACAGGGGATGCAAATTCAATAATAGCTGACACACACTGACATACCAAAGCAACATGTCCCATATAAATTCCTGAACAGACAAGAACATAACTCGCACTAAAATGTCTGAACGTTCATAGTAGAGGAGCATAAGCCAGAGGATAAAAAAATGAAGCCTGCTTTTCAGAAGAACTGAATGCCTGAAATTACAAACATTTTCAGAGACTTCAGATCTGCATACCAGCTGGCTTGTTCCAAGGTTGAGCTATCAAAAGCTGGCTCATTTTCTAGTCTAAGCAAGATTTAACAGACACTATGTATGCATTAAACACAGTCCTGTTTACCATCAAGAAAAAGCCAGAACAGCTAGAACAAGAGACTTCAACAAGCATCTCTGATATACAAAAGATTTATGTAATTACAGACTTCACTAACAACAAGATGGCATAAATACTGTTCAATTGAGGACAAGATAGATCAGAGGCAGGGTTTGTATTAACAGAAATTGCTTTAAGTTTACTTCACCACCAAGACTCCTGTTCTTTCGTTTGGCAAGCTCTCTAAATTAAGCTACTGATTCCCAGGATGAAATATTATTCTAGACTACTGAAGACTGCAAAAAAGCTCACACCAGTAGAAAAAACAAAGAATAGGTTCCTTACAGAAGAGCATTTAGGATATTAACAAGAGTGAATGAAGTAGTGGACAAAGCAAAGAGGACAATTCAATAACAGCAACCAGACAAGGCAGAACCCTAACCCGCTATCTTCATATGTAGCACCTACATTTGCATTTCTATGGATGAAGCTTCATGGTTCAGATTAATCGATGTTAAGTATAATAATCTGTTCACCTATGATGCATTTTTTTATCTTAAGCAGAAAAGTTCTGGAATATAGCAGCTATTCTTCAAAGTTAAGATTCGCTAGGTCTCAACTTTTGTATATTAATATTGTACACTAATTTGATTAAGGATCTCAAAAGTGCTCTTTAATGCAAAATAGGGATGTTAATGGTTAGCTAGTAGGGGCTAGAGAAGTCTCTGCATTTGCTATGGGCAGGGATGCTCCAGCCCACCCATCGCAGCTTCTGTCTGAGGCAGGGGATAGTCAAGCCCAGCAGGGCTGGAGAGGCCCCCGCGCCTGCCCTCCCATTTAAGCAGTTAACTGGTTAAATGTAAAGTTTAATTCATTAACTGATTCATTTACATCACTAGTTTGGTGCTCCTGCCATAGTAGTCTGAACATTCTACAGCTGGGGTGGCCAACCCACAGCTCTCAAGCCCCATGCAGCTCTTTGCTGAAAGAAATTCAGCTCTTGCTAGATCGGTGCTTGGCTCTGGGGGAAGGGTGGCGCATTGAGTTAGAGCAAGGAGGATGAGGATGCCTGGCTCTGGGGGAAAGGAGAGGGATTGAATTAGAGCAGGGGGAAGGGGCTAAGGGTGCCTGGCTCTGGGGAAGAGGATTGGGTTAGAGCAGGGGTGGGGGGGAGAAGGGGTTGAAGCACCTTAATCTCAAAATCTTCATGGATGCAGAATAAGGCAGCCAACACAGATGTCATATTTAAATTCCAGGACAAAAAAAGAATCAGCATGTAACTGGTTTACACTGTGTTTCTTTAAAGAAAATTCAAAGGCTATTGTTTGCCAGGCTGAAACAATTATTTTGAGATGAGTCTCTCCTTCCTTCTTGTTTTTCAACCTATCATATTTGCAGTCTGGGACAGACCTGAATTTTTAGAATTATAAAAAAAAGCCATAATCTTCATAAATTTAAAAAAAAAATGAGGAAACCATACCAGAAATCAACAAGCTGGAGTGAAACAGACACTTCAAATTGTGCTAATTTACTTCTCAGTTCAGTTTAATTTTTAAAAACTCACAGGACATAATACGGCAGTAGTGTTAAATTTAAAATACATGGTGAGGATGCTTATTTAGTGTGAGATTATTACTGTATTTTCAAGGGTGGTTTTTTTTTTATTTGAAGTTTGTTCCTTGTCAAGTTCTCTGAAGATCTAAGGACAAGCCGTGAATTTTTTAAGTGATTAGAGACTTTATTGGTTTTTGTCTGAAGTGTCCTGTAATGTTATTTTTATCACTACATTTTGTATACTCTATCTACATAAAGATATATAGATATATAAAAATAAAATATATAACATATGGCTCTTTGCACTCTATCCATAGCTATTTTGGCTCTTAGTCTCTAACTTGTTGGCCACCCGTTCTACAGATTTTGAGTAGAAACATTGAAGACTCGTGTTTTGCTGTGATGATGGCCATGTTCCATGCTTTGTCAAAGACATCTGACTACATGACAAATCATTTGCTGTCAGCACCTGGAAAATTATGGGGAATAGGGATTATTCTCTATTTAGCTGACTTCATTTGTTCTCTTAACATTTAGCAGTGAACCCTACATATCCCACTTGATTGTTTATATACTTCAAAAAGGATTGCCATAAAAAGGGAACAAAATGGAAGCTATGTCTCAAGCTTTTTTACACCCATAAAAATGCTGGCTCCGAGGATCCCCCTTCTTTATGTTTGTAGTATTCAGTGTAATTTGTACCACTCAAAATATTACAAAAAAGTAACCTACTTGTATCTCTGATTATAAGGAGGCAAAGAAAAGTTAAATGAATTATGACACTGCAGACTGCCTCTGAGAGAACAGGAGAACTACAGCCACATCTACACTGGCCATATGCTCATTTCCTGAAATGATTTCCATAAAGAGATCCTAACCAATGCACAGAACAGGGCAATTATCAAATGATCCATCCTGTCCTCCAGTACTAGCTTCAAGACTTAGGGATAACCATTGCATGGTGTTGCATTCCAGACCATTTTTTGAACCCTGATTTAATTTTGGTCTTTATTGATGTAGTTTTATAGAATGCTAATGTAACAATACAAAACAGTATCACATTTGCTTGTAAATTCCTTAATGAGATGCAGTTTAAAGATTCATTTAAAAGATGACTAATACAATGAAAGATGTTCAAAATTTGAAGGAAGCGCTACAGACAAAACTGACAGAAGATGGAGCAGACTTAATGAAACGTATGTTTTTTCTGAAGAACAGTAAAGGTCCAGATAGTAACCTATAGTATGCCACAGGGCTCTTAAGGGTGAGGGGGTTCAATAATGGATTGAAAACTACTGGAATTTGTTAGATAGTTGTTTGGAAGTTCTGACAAATGAGCATCCATCGGAGTAGGCAGGCTCTCAGTTCAAAGCCATTAGCACAGGTATTTGCGAGTTGAAATTTCTGCAGGAAATCAATCCCTTACAGCTAGGCTGAGGTTTTAGACAAGTGGCTCATCACTCAAGTCAAGTATTACAAGCTATATTGGCTCCTATCAACTGCTTCCTCTCTGTGCACTTTTCCTAACAAATACAGGTACACCCGTTTCTTGTGGGAACCGCAGTCAGATGTAATCAAAACTAGATGTTTCTCTAAGAGATACGGTCTAGTTCAAACAGGAACTGACACAGGGAAGTCCTAGGCCTGGGCGACACAGGAGGTCACCCAGATGATCACCATGGTCCCTTCTGACCTTGGGACCTGCGAGCGACAAAGCTGTTCCAGGCCCTGGGCAGTTCCCCGCGCGAGCCCGCAACTGTCCCCGCGCCACCGCCCGTTCCATCCGCACGCGCCCCGCTCACTGCGCCAGCCCGGGACGCCGCGCCAGAGCCCCCGGGGCAGGAGGGGAGCCCGGCTCCGGCAGGGGAGGGGAGGGGACGGTGACCAAGGCTACTTCCGCTTCTTCCAGCTGACTCCACCCCACCGCAGAGACGCCGACCACACAGAACACAGAGGGCCTAAGCCCCGGATGTTGGGCCCTTCTCGCCCCGTCATCGCCGTAAGTCGCAGCGTGGGCAAAACAACGCAACGCCCGTTGGGGCAGCGGTAGTCACGTGCCCCTGCGTGACGGGAAGGAAAGCACGTGAAGGCTACTTCCGCTTCTTCCAGCTGACTCCACCCCACCGCAGAGACGCCGACCACACAGAACACAGAGGGCCTAAGCCCCGGATGTTGGGCCCTTCTCGCCCCGTCATCGCCGTAAGTCGCAGCGTGGGCAAAACAACGCAACGCCCGTTGGGGCAGCGGTAGTCACGTGCCCCTGCGTGACGGGAAGGAAAGCACGTGACTTGTTCGTTTTGTACCCTCAGGCGGTCCTCAACTCTATGGTTCTGCGAGTTCGAGCGTGTGCCCCTTTCAGAACCCTGCTCTCTCCGAAGATCTCGCAATCTATGATTGGGCCTCCAGGTTCTCTCCGTCCCGCCCAGCGGCTCCGGAGACTCTATGATACGGCGAGATCTCGCGCGAACAGGAGATGGGAAGGCGGGTTTCGCGGCTGCGCACTGAGGTGGGGACCGGGCGCACGCTGAGGCAACAGGGAGACGCTAGACCGAGAGCCCGGAGCAGAGCGCGGGACCCGGATACCGAGCAGGTAACGCCATCGCCGGGCCCCAACGCCTGAGGGGAGCTGCGGAGCCTGTTCCCGGCCCGTGGGGTGGT